TTTGGTATCTTGCCGATTTTCGCCAACTCGAACGTTTCGCAAGATCGATCGGGTTGGTAACGCGAGCCAACCGGAGGCGGGATAATTTAAATGCGAATGTTTGCGAAGAAAACGTTTCCCGAGGGAATCATATTCTTTTGGAGCAACGAAGGGAGGGGGGAGGTTCAAGGTTTTCGACGATGGAAAAATATTTATAGTTTGCCAAGGGGAATGGTATTTTAGATTTCATATCGCGACAGTGTAAACAGGGAAGAGGTTGATAATATTTGGATCTCGCATCGATACGAATTTCAACTTCGAACCGTTATTTTTATTAACGGTAAATCTTACGAACGACGAGATTTTTTTAATCCTCCGTTCCCTCCCGTCCATTTCATCCATCGATATTTCCTCGCTTCGACCGAATTGTTTATAATACGAATCGTTGAAAAGGAAAAAAATCATCGAAACGAATTTATTACAATTAAGTCCGCACAAATAATGGCAAAGTTGCCTAAATAATTATCGTTGACAGTTAATGGTTGAACGGCGCTTAACGGACCTAATAGGAGAGCGGCGAAAGAGGAGGGTAGCCTCCGTAATTAATTAAAAACATTTAAGGTAAACCCCCCTCGAGCCAAGGCTCGATACCGACACCCGAGAACGTCTTCCTCCCGTTATAATTTCCTCCTTCCCTTCCCCGCATCTTCTTCTTCTTCTTCTCGCCCTCTTTCTCCGCCACGAGCCGCGCGTATTAGTTCGTCTCTTCGCCTCGAGGCGCGCGAATTATTAGAACGACTCTCCATCTCTATCTCGGCAGCCACCCTTGTTACCCCGCTCCCCTCCCCCTCCCACCCGTTAATTAGAGTACAGTCTGCTACTGACGACAACCAACTGCAAAGGAGAGTCTTCAGCAACACGCCCTTTCCTAACACTCCGCCACTTCGTCCCCTCCACCCAGCTTTTCCCTCCCCTCGCAGTTGATCCATGCGACCGACGCGATGCTTGCGGCTTGAATTATTCCACCGAATTCCCCACACGACCCGTGAGTGCCCTTTAAGAGGTGATGGAAGCCGAGCGTGGAATGGCCCGGCCGGGGGTCATCCCCGAATTGTCCTCCAACAAGTTTATTCGGGGTGAAAGATATGCTTACTCGTACGGCTTGGACGCGATTCGCCAGGAATTGTTGGAGGGATGGGATTTTTTGGTGAACGAGGTGAACTTTGGAAGAAGAAGTGTGGAGATATTGAAAGAGGGAATGAGAGTGCGCGGGAAATGTGTCGAAGGAAAAGTCTCGATGAATATGGCTGATCATAGATGCAGTTGAACTACTTACTGTCGCTTTAATCACGCGTTTTTATCGTATGTTTGAATTTTATAAAATATCTTGTGTATTAAAACAAGAATTTTCTATCGCAAGGGTTGATAAGGTTTCTCTCCATCGATTGATTTATTAAAAAGAATGATTTAGAGAGAGAAACAAACTTGATCTTCGATATTCTCCGAACATTCACGGGAAAAAGATCGTATAAAATCGTATTTGTGTTATACATCATTCCTTCTACACCACTTTTACACAACTTTTTACATTTTTTTCAAATCAACCAACGAATTTCAGGAGTTATTATTCGAAGTCATCAGAGATGGGCAAAATTCAAACGGTTAAAGTTAAGAATAAAGTTACCTGAATAAGTAGTTTATTATTCAAAGCGTGGAATAACGGCGGTTAACCCGAGGTTATACGAGGAGCAAGCAACTGCAGTGGCCAACGAATAAATGCTATATTCCACCATTTTAAACAAAGTTATTAACTATTCAAAGTTCAAGTTTCAACTCTATTCCTAAATTTTAACTAATTAATCTTTCAGCCTATCAACGCCCATTCCTCGTCGAAATCGTCGTATTTCACGTAGCAAATGTAAATCTATTTTAATCGAGTAGCACGAGTGATTAAACCACGCTTCGCATCGGTGTACACCTCTGCGAATCGGAGCGGGGTGGTAATTCGGTAGATGTATCCGCGTGAAATCTACCTCGTCCAGTTTTAGAATCGATTTCGAACGTATCTTTTCGGGGAATCGGTCGAGTGATTACTTTTCAATCGGATCTACGTGGATATGGAACGATGAGTAGGAACGATGCGTTGCCCATCTATCGTGAAAGATAGCGTCTCCAGAGCGTGGTGATAATTCGATCCCCCGCATTGTTATCGATCGAAACCGATGAATCAACCGATCTCGCCTCTGTGAACCTTAATAGAAAAGAATCGGCCGTGTTCCACGTTTTAATAAATGGACCGAGGCCGTGTTTCCATCCCCCTTTTCAAACCGGCAAGATCCAATCTGGACGCGTGAAAGGAAATCTAAATATTTCATAAAACGGTATTCCCCGGGCGGAAAACACGAACAATTTCGTCGAACTCCGTTTCGAGTTATATTCTCCGTTCTTTTTTCTCTTTCAGTTTTTTTCTTTCTCGAAAAGAAGAACAATTTCGATGAATTTTCGATCCTCTCCTTTTTTTTTTTTTTTTTTTTCGGCCACTCGACGATGCGAGAATTAAAAGAGAAGACGGGTGGAACGGTTATCATGGCCTACTGAATATTTAAATTAGCGTTAACGATAAATTCGTCGCGTCCAGTCGGAGGTGAATTTACTTGGAAAGATGCTTTTTATCGATCCATTGAAATTAATTCCACCTGTTATCGAATAACTTTGCATCGGATTATGCTTTTATAACGATTAATACTTCGGTTGGCGGAACAGGGTGGGGAAAATTCGGAAATTATGCTGTCCAATTCTTGATTGAAAACGTATACTCGTTTCGATGGAAAGATAACTCGATTAATCGATCGAAATCGCACGGATTGCTATTTATTTAAATTAACAATTTCCACGGTTCGTTCGATCCATATTCAACATGAAAATAAACATCAACAGCAGCTTCTGCGAATCATCCTTTAAGATCCTTTAAGATAAAGCGATCATCGTCTCGAGAACGAATATCTGCCACTCGAATCACATTTCCAATTCATTCACGAACGAGTTCACAACGAATACGGAGAGATGGTCGAAATATTCGCGAACCGAATCGAATTTTTATCGGGACGGTGCATGAAAAACGTGGGCAGGAATTTCATTAGCGAGGCGAGACGTGTTAGGCGGGCTCGTCTGGAAAGATGACGCTTGATCGTTCGTTCGCTCGGGGAAAAACGGATCGAGGTTGGATTGATCGTCCCACACTTGACCCGAATCGCCTGATTAAAACACGGCACGGCTCGCTGATTCTCCTATTTGTCACGTGTCGTCGCGATCGAGTCGCGAAACTCGACTCTGTTGTCAGAGTTATTAGCAGCGGAGTCGGCCCTCCGAAATCCATCGGCGCCGTTGCAAATCATCCCTCTTCTTCCATTCCTCGTCGCGATACAAACTCGACGACCTCCCCCATTAATTGTACAACTCGTTTGTACAAGTTCCACTGATGCTGCAACTTTGCACTCGCGCTGCGAGTTAATTGACGCGATCGATCCGAAGCTTTCTAACGAAACGGTTGTTGTACGCTTGATTGGCGAACTTCGATTCGAAAAGACGAAGACAGCGTTGGATTGGTCGAACAGGGAACGTTGAATCGAACGTTTTGTATCGAGAAAATATTTTCATTCGTTGATGAAACGAATAATTTGGATATTTGAATTTGAAACAACCCTTACGATTAATTATGGCTACGATTTTATTATTTTTTTGAGAATGAATCCGAGACTTGCTATTTTCCATATTTCTTCAAAAAATTATTTCCTCGCGCCATCGATAAATCTATGAATAACCGAAAATTTCCCTGCTTGCGTCGTTTGTCACGAGGAAGGAAACGAAAATCGGTCGGTTCTCGCGAAAATACGTAAACGCGTCGATACGGTTATTTGTAAGTCAAGCAGGCGCTAGACGGGTGCAATGTCGTTTCGAGATCAATCGCGGCCGAGAAGAAATTGCTCGCGCGTGAGAAACGATTTCCTCTCCTCCGTCGAATATGAATCGTTGGCACAGGCTATGAATGAACGACGTTACTCGTGTTTCACGACGAGGTTCCGGTTTACACAGGAGAATCTTCCACCTTTTTCCCTCCCCCTTCTTATTTTTCATGGGCCTTAGACGCCCTCGAGATTGCCGGTATCACCAATTAGGCGACGCGAGCAGCGTCGTAATAACGAGAGTACAGATGAAATTTAGCGCGACTCCACAGCTAACGAGTAGTTAATTCGACTGGTTTACGAGAGTCATGGGACGCGAGGAGTAAAAATTATGTTGAACGCGGGGAAATTTTCCGAATAGAAAATTTTTTTCGTTGCATTTTTTCTTTAAAAGAGGAAGAGGAAAGAGCGGAAAGGAAACTTATTTTGAAAATTTGATTCGAGCCACGATCGATTCTCTAATTTAATCATATTATAGCAATTTTTATTATTTCTCGTTATTTAAAATTTTAATCGTTTCAATGAAAATTCCAACTCGAGCTCTTCGCGTGCTTTTTTAAAATTTTTTATTCTCCTCCCTTTATATTTCCCCTCCTTTCATCACCGTGTTAACTCGAAAAAAATATACGAGTCCCTTTAATTAGAAATGAAAATTGATTTAAACGAGATTTTAATAGAAAATGGTAATTATCCACGTGTCAAGTTTCAAACAATTTTCGTTCCCCACTTTTATGAATCTTTTCTTTGAAGTAGGTGCTCGTTGCTCTATGGAGCACCCGAGAACCCGTACTTTTTATTCAATATACATCCAAATGAATTTTTTAATGAACAATGAAACATTGCCGTGTGACGGAAGGGCAAATTAAAGCGCGAGTTAATTACGAATACTAATAAAGTCAATTTTACTCTTTTCCTCCTCCTCTCCCTCCCCCGTAATTGAGAGGGTGCAACGAGCAATAAAGAACGATCCGTCCAATTTCATCAAACGCGATTTACGATATACGCGACTTTGATGAAACGTTAAAGACGGACGGAAGCAAGAAGGGAAAGGATACTCACTGTAGGTGCCCACGTAGATCGGCGTCCATGTGACCTGGGAATCGACGAGAGTCGTAGCCACGAACAGAACAGCGGCGAACCATACACTCAAACGAGTCGCACTCATCTCACTAATAGCCCCGACAATCGCCATTTCCCACGTTTCAATCAGTCCTCTGCCTTAATATCATCTTCACCGATCATCTTCCTCCCCCCGCTCTTCTCCCCTTCTATCGCGCACCGATCCGCCGTGTCCTCGATTTTATTTCTACCTCTTCTAATAAAAAAAAAAGAAAAAAGAAAAAGGAAAAAAAAAAAGAAAAACTATCAAACTTCCACTTCCACTTGTACCTCGCTCTTGTCACACGACTTTAAATTCGATTTCTCTTTTTTTCTTTTAACTTTTCAAACTGTCCCCTTCCGTTCCACCCTGCTCGAGCAACGTCGTCTCGAACGAAGTGCATTAAATTGCTTATATATATATATATATATAAAATAAGATAGAATGAATATTGAATGAGGCGAACGAGTCGAATCGTTTGCGAGCAATTAGCCCGGCGAGAAGTAATCTAAACTCGTGGCGATTTCACACAGCCACGGAGGGGTTAATGATCCGTGAGCCGGGCATCTGTTTTCGCGGATTTCGACGTTCGCGGTTAAATTGTCCGTGGTATTATCGGCTTTTAAATTAGAGAAACTTTTGAATTAGCGCCACTTTATACCCGCCCGCTCCTGTTTTTCACGGCAAGAAGTTCGCGACCCGAATCTTTCATCACTTTTCACCGCTACAGAATCTTCATTTCCGCGCCAGTTTTTGATTTACACTGGTGTCGCTATATAATCCCCCCCCATCCGTCGACGTTCTTTTCTCTTCTTCTTCTTTTTTCATACGCGTGCACGATCAACGTGAATGAGAAGAACCAGGCGAGCTCCCGGCCTCGCAGCTTTCTCGTGACGCGTTCACAAAGGCGTGTCACGATCCCGGTGTCTCTGCGCGAACACCTCGCTTCGACCCCGGTTCAATCCATGATCCTCGTTCGAGGAACGCCGTCCGCGGAAGGCGGGGCCTTTTGTCTCTGCTCCATCCGCGCTCTTGTTACCTTCGCCCTACACAGATCTCTGTAACAAAGCAGAAATGCAAACCGTTAGAGATACACGGAGTGGTGGAGATCGATCGTTCGAGTGCTCCGAGAAATACAGAGAAGTTTAATTATTTACAACGAGATTTTTAAAGAGTGTCGAAATCTTTCTCGTTTCGTCGTTGCTATTTTTCGTCGTTCAAATACTAAAAAAAAAAAAAAAAAAATAAGGAAAGCAAGATTCGTATTATTATTCGTATCAATCCATGTGTATTTTTTCTTTATTTCTAATACTCCGGTTTTTAATTTAATTAATTTAACGATATATAGTTTCGTAATATAATATAAAAAAGTATCGAGAATAAAAAAATATTAGAAAGATGATGCAACGATCCAAAATATTAAGAGACAAAAAGAAAATGCATTAATTTCCAAGATTCTCTTTCGACGATCTTTCTTAATTCGCATGAGGGCTGGCATCAACATTTTCCATCGATGTGTATTTTTCTTTATTTCTAATACTCCGGTTTTTAATTTAATTAATTTAACGATATAGTTTCGTAATATAATATAAAAAAGTATCGAGAATAAAAAAATATTAGAAAGGTGATACAACGATCCAAAATATTAAGAGACAAAAAGAAAACGGCTTCGGTACACTAATTTTCAAGACTCTCTTTTGACGATCTTTCTTAATTCGTATGAGGGCTCGTATCTCGTCTGGCACCAACATTTTCCATCGATGTGTATTTTTCTCTATTTCTAATACTCCGGTTTTTATTTCGATTAATTTAACGATACAGTTTCGTAATATAAAAAAGTATCTAGAATAAAAAAAATATATTAGAAACATGATACAACGATCCAAAATATTAAGAGACAAAAAGAAAACGGCTTCGATACACTAATTTCTCTTTTCGACGATTCTATTCCTTAATTCGTACGACGGCTCGCGTCTCACGGCTGGCACCAACATTTTCCATCGACAGAGAGGGAGCTCGCGGCGCTCGTTACCGGATTCGAATGGAACCGGTGGATCTCGCCGCGACATCATCCCAGCTCTCCGGTAATGAGGGGAATCCGTACAAAACATGCCGAATACTCGTGCGATCTCCGCGCCGCGAATCATCCACGTTCGCGTTTTCATCCCGTGGAAAATGTCGTCAATGTCTCGTTAGCGTATCCACCATCCTGGAAGCTGGAAGGCAACGCGCAAGGTATTGTCGATCCTCGTGTACCAGGGGGCCACCAGGGTGACCGTGATGTCTGAGGGGATCCAGTCGAGGAGGAGGCGGCTGGCTCTCTTGTAACGAGAGCACAGGGCTCGGAGCGTGTACCGCCTTAGAGGTTCGTAATATGACAACCCACCGAACCCACCTGGTTTTGTTATCGTTATTTACTCGTTATCTCTACCCGCTTTCGAGTCGTGTCGGCTCATCGGCTCGACACGAGATGCAATTTCAAAGGAGCTTCGCGTCTTCGCGTTGGTTTATCTACTTTGATAAAATATCGGGTTGGATAAAATTGGACGTTAATTGGACGCTGAGAAATTAATGAAAGAAAAATTAAAATTTCGAATAAAGTTGGTTTGAATGTACTAGAGCTAAATGATATCGTGAAAAAGAAAATAGATTATTATATTACAGAATTTGATTGATTCTAACGTTGAATAATAAATTTGTTTAAAATGGTTCGAGTGACAAATAATACAACTCGTCGAGATCGACTTTATTCGTAACTTCGATCTCCTTAATTTTTTTTCTCCGAGGCAAGATTGAAGAAAGTATCAAAACGTCATCTCTCAGTTGTAATATCATTAATTAAGGAGAAAAAATCGTGCGAAAAATTAGAAAAGGAAAAAAAAGATTTCGGTCCCATTATCGCGATGCCGGGTAATAGGTCACTAGTCGAGTGTCGAGACCCGTGCCGGATCCAATCGTCCAATTACAGGTCAGGCCGCGTCTATTCGAGGCCGAGACCGAGTCTGGCCAAGTGTCTCTTTATACGGAAGAAGCTTCCTTTCTCTAGCTCTCCTCCTCCCCCTCCCCCTTTCTTCTTCGGCGCGGTGGACAGAGAAAAGGAGGGCGTAGACGGAGAGAGAGAAAGAGAGATTGTGCGACTCGTCGAACGCGGCCGCGGCACGAACGAGCCCATTGAAAAGGCGCCGATGCAGTTAACTTAATCCAGGTGCTGATTGGACACGGCAACCGGGAAACGACGAGGAACGCGATGGAATGGAAGGAAAAGGAAAGAGAAAAAAAAAGAAAAGAAAAAAGAAAAGTAAAGAAGTTGCCCTTAGCTGGACTCTCCTAGCCAGGGGGTTGACCTTAATTGCGCCACGCAATTATGGCCACTTCCGTTTGATGGAAGTAATGCGCCGTTATAAAAAAAAAGAAAAAAGAGAAAGACCCGATAAAGCGGGAATCTGTGGTTATGAGAACGTCACCGGCACACCCTTTTCTCTTTCTCTCTCTTCAATAGGTTCTTCTACGCCGTCTTCCTTCTTCTCGCCATCTTCTCGCCGTTATTACGATTCCGTGTCCTGTCCCTTTTTTCGAGGGAAAAGGGGGAGGAGGGGACTAGGTCTCGTTTCGTTCTCTGGATGGAAAAATAAAGAGGAAAGCTTTTCGAGAGGTTTCGCGATACCTAGTCTATTCTCGAGTCGGTAAATGGTAAGAGCAGGATTCGAACGTGGAAAAATTGCGCGAAGATAGTAGTTTGGTAAATTGGCTCGATTCGGCGGAGCGAACGTTCGATTTTGCTACTAGATGCTAGATACTCGTAGAAACTCGTAGAACGTTGCGCAAAAATGGAATAAATTTTGGGTATAATAAAATGGTACCACTCCAAAGTTATTATTACGAGGAAAATAGTTATTCTTGTGGAACGTAATTAAACGTGATTGTAACACGCCATCCTCGAAACGAACGACAAGTGCATTCTTGTGTGATTTTAGATATTACAGTGGAAGCATGCAACCTACGTCCTTGTCGAGCTTGTCCCATAAATTTCCATAATAAGTTGCAATTACGAGGTACAATCAAGTTTATTACGATATTTATGACATTTTTCTTTTTCCACCAGAATAATATTCTCGCGAAAGAAACTCGCGAGAAACGTTAGACGAATCGATTTCATTTTTTAATTTCGCGAACTTGGATAAAAGAAAGAAAAAAAAAAAAAAGAAGAGAAAACAAAATTTCAAAGTTTTGCGAGAAAATGGCATTTTTTTGAAAGCAATTTCGAGGCCGCGCAAAGAAAACGCGAATGTTGGAATTCGCAGAAGAATAATTATTTTTGAAATCTGCAGCTGCCTTTAATCGTCGTTCGTTCGTCATTAACGATCCTTCTTTGCTATTTCAATGGAAGAACAAACAATTTTTTCGCAATGTCAATTCGCCCTCTCCATTTCTTTGCCTCCTTAGCAGAATTGAAAAATTGAAGAGTGAAAATTTCTTTCCCCCTTGCTCTCTCTTTCGTTAAATTGGAACGCGTTTGATTCGATTCGATTAGAAACCGAGTCGCTTTTGCGGGTTAGATTCGCTGATCGGGGACGGAACGGCCCGTTGTAATTATTAATCGAGTCAGGCATCAATTAGTCGGAATATCGATTAATTGCGCATCAGAGGCGCGTGTCTTGGCCCGTGCACACCCACGATTTCGATTATCCGCGGCTTTCGATGACTGTGCGTTTCATCATTCGATTAATCAACCGTCACGATCTGGATTGCGACGTCGCTTAACGTCAAATTTCATCCAGTTATGCATTTTATCAAATCACGCCTGATTAATAATCATTTCGAGGACGCTGAACGCATCATGCTTTGAACGGGAATGATTCGTGCACGCAATCTGCACCGTATAAATAAGCGCAATTTTGATTGCCATTGTTCGAGGCGTAAAAGAAAATTCTGCTATTCGTAAATTTCCACTCGTTTCGACGAATGTGTATTAAATGAGTGTGCAAATAAGTGTTTCGTGATTGCAATTTATTTAACCTTCCTCAAAAACCGACGATGATCAAGTTACTATTACAGCTACATACAAATTTCCCTCGCAAAATATCGTAATGTATTTTCACACACAACAGCTTGTAAATTATCTAAAACGATCGTATCAAGTGGTGCTTGATCCCATCTATATTATACACTTGAACAATGAATGTAATTCAAATTAAACGGTATATCTCTACAGGATG